TAGTAGTAGTAGTAGTAGTAGTAATAGTAGTAGTAGTAGTAGTAGTAGTAGTCTTTCACTGCATTTGGTGAACTTTTTCCCCACCTGGAACCGGTGTCATGACCAAGTTAATCAGACCGAAGGCAGAGGAGGGCGCATGTGGCTGGCACATCTGGAGTCCCCACACTGGGCTCGAATCCCAGCTGAATTTATGTATCAGAAGGGCCACATTAAGAAGGAATTATTGCAGTCTCTCACTCTACAAGTCAACCACCCCACAAACTGAGCTCACTGCTCGATCCGAGTCGGCAACCTTTCAGGCCACTACTCCAACTGCCGCACCTGTAAATGTCTAGAGCCTAGTTCCTCATCTGTTAATAATATTTCAATTGTGCTTTCTTAGAGCCTGCTAGCTCATTTAAATTCTCCCTGCCAAAACAGAATACTTAGTGAACCTCACAAGGACCTGCTATCAACACGCTGCGACTTCTTCGAGCTGTTCTGGACTTCCCTCGGTTTCTCAACTTTCCTCCACGAATATCGTTATTATGGGTTTACCTCTCGATGCAGTCGGTTATCGCGACTATAGGTTCTACTCGGTTCCGCTGTCAGCAGTGAAGTGCGCGTCGCAGTTTGCCTCGGCAACACCCATATCCTGTTCGTCCATACTTCCAACTTTCAATACAGCTGACCAGACCTGCCGCAGTGTCATTTCAAAGGTAGGATCTGTTCGCAAGTTCTGCGTCTCATGTAGTAAATAAACTTTATGCATTATGTACCCTGATATTCATCTCAAATTTCGGTTTGTGCCTATAGACCCTAGAATATACTGGTTTACTCCAAGCCATAGGTCCATTTCTGAGGAACTCACATGTAACAACGTCAATATTAGAGTAAGCAATAATTGCTGGTTCACACATTCCGTCTTTCGTTGATGAACGCTCACCGATCGCTAACCGAACTCAATCCCTCTAGTTATGCTTTGATGTTCGAGACAGAGTTCCGTCAATAACCACTCAGCGGCTAGCGTGTTATAGGCCGAAAGACCTAATATTGTATTTGGTGGTAAGTTCTTTCTGCCTATACTGTGATAGCCGTTGAGCTACTGCTGATGGAGCAGGAGAGTGAGCCTAAAGGCATAACGGGAAGAGCGATTTCCCTAACCAATCAGTGAGCGCCTGTCTGCTACTGTATATATAAATATATTTTAATATGCGCGAATATTCGAGGTCCAGACATTATATCGTGGGCATCAGCTCCCGAAGAGGATGATGATGCACACGATATATTTTTTATTTACCATACTGACAGCACAAGTATTAACTTAAAGTCCAGAAGAGTGTTTCGCCGGTCTTTCGCCACTGCTTGACAGAGTTGCAAGGAGTCTGGCTCGTCACTGGGCCCCCTAGCATTTCCTATTCGTTTTCTGGAAGATATGTCAGCTTTTCATTTCAAGATTTTCAATTTATGCAAAAATAATTTTTATGCTTCGTATAGATTAGTATATACCTACAAACTGTTAATATCCTGAGTCAAACCGACCTCAAAAATTAATTTCAAAGAAACTTCAGAGCTGAAATTTCAAAAGCTATATATGTACCAGAAAACAAACAGAGAATGCCCACGGACCCACTGATGAGCCGGACCCATCGCAGTTTTGTCAATCAGCAGCAGAATATATGCGAAACACGTGTCTGGGCGTTAACCTAGTACTTGTGCAGTCAACAGGGTAAATAATTAGACAGGTTATCCTACTGTCTGCCTGTGGGTAATTTTTGAATATTGTGCAGTTATCCCACAGTAGTTGATGGATTTCGGACCAAATATTCAAATCAAATTTCTGTCTGCACCTATAGAGTCCAGGACATACTGGCTTACATCATGTCAGATATTACTTAATAAGGAAATTAAAAAGTTACAATACTCATTTTTAAAAATTTCGTTATGTTGATGTTGCACAATCATCTCATCTCTTAGTTCCTTATGGCCTTTTCATGTCCTTCTTTAGATCTCCTTTCGCTTTGCCCATCGAGCCGGTCAAATTCTCGATTACCAGATTAAACTATGGACGCAGGACATTGTGACAGAAGGCTTTGCCTTCAACGTCGAAATTGTCTTCTTTGAGGTGACTATTTTGTTTTGCTTCTTTGCCAACCAAAATTCTGAACTATGTCTTCGATTCGAACAAACTACCCAAAGAGGATTGTCACGCTCGTATAGGCTAATCTTAAGACCCTTTATCCACGTCAGGATACCGGCCTTTAAATGAGTTTCTTTCTAACTGCCTGCAAAAAATGTATGTTCTGTATTCTCTTATAAGAGTACTGAACATCAACGAGACAAGAGTATACTACTTATGTAGCCATTTTTACAGAGCATGCTTTTTGCAGGCAATCAGAAAGGAGCTCATTCAAAAGCCGGTATCTTGACGTGATTGAAATGTTTTGAGATTAGGCTGTACACAGTAGTCGGTACTACGAGACTACTTGGGTAACTTTTTCGAATCGCAAACACATTTTAGAATTTCGGTCGACGTTTCATGAAATAGAGAAGCTACTGTACTTACTGCTATTGATGCAGACATTCGTCCTTACTCTCTGATGGAAACTTGACAGGTTTTCGACTGAAGGTGTGGCAAAACTATCCTGCAGGGCCGCTTAATTATCTATTTCCCCGCTCAACTGTCTTACGTAATTTGTGGCTAAACGCTTAATTCTTGATTAGCGAGTGAAATGAATATTTAGTTGTGTTAAAAGTAATCAAAGAATATTAAATTAAAGCCACTTCTAGTTGTTTTAGTGAGCTAAATATAATCAACTCAATCAACATAAACTCCTGCTCCTACTGATAGAAATTCGACCTTATATTTGTGGAATTTAACGAAAAAACGGGAAATCGGTCTACTGAAAATGCAGAAACAGTTTATTATTGTAAGTTAAAGACAACAAGAACCTCTAAAAAGAGTCCTACCGAAAGTGCTTTTTAAATTCAGACCAGGTTCTCTTAGGGATCGGCCTGAGAGGTGTCATTGTCTGAATTACAAAGACCAAGAGTTGTCATGCTCCATCTTTACTAGTCTCTATCGTTGTTTCAGCAATGGAGTGTTAAAATTAAAAAAAGTCCCATCTAGTAATTTCTGTGGTGGAGTCAGGAGATAATTGAGATTTCTTTACGTAATGGGCTGAGAGTTTCCGTAACTCCACAAGTTTCTAAGAGTCATTCACTATGTAAATTTCGATAGCATGGCACCTTTTTCTCTATAATCCGCACCGTACTACGCATTCTCTCATTGACAAGAAGACATTTTAGAGAGGATTGAGGAGCGTCTGTTATAAATGGAATTCCCATCTGGTGCAAATAGGGGCCTTAGCTATGATGAGTGGACTGAGCATCAGACGGCGACGACTTTTTGGTTGTGTAAATCATTTTATGTGTCAAGGGGGCCAGGTCGTGCTGTGGCGCACGCAGATTGGTTCACCGGCCCTGTCAGCCACTGCGTCTGATCCCATCTCAGGCGATCGGCCGGCTTGGAGTAGAGAGTGCAGTCAACGACTCAGCGCATTCCTTATTCACTAAAAACAATATGACACGTTTAACGTTATCAGGGTGCGCTAAAAGCCGTGGCTTGGAGGGTTGCTAACTGACGGGAAACTCGGAGAGCGTGGTCAGCCTAGTGTGTGTGTTTTGTACAGTGATTAACTGGCAGACTGAGAGTCAGGCTACAATGGCTCCCTGTTAATGTA